AACGATCAAATCAACAGTGTGAACTGAACGAACTTGCCTTTTGCCGGACAACTGTGGTACCAATACTAATGTCAGTATGACACAGATCAACGAGCAGTAACCAGAATCCATGATACTATCAAACCAACACGCGGCGGAGTGAGCTCTTTAGTAAGGGTAACTGTGCGTGATAAGATGAAAGCTATTCATGATCAATGACATACTATACTGCAAGTTACCTGCAAATAATTAACACAGTAATGCACACCGGATATCGATTGTAAGCTCTTTTTCTATTGGCATCGCTAATACCTCATTTAACGAGCTAGACCAGAGCCCTCTTGTTTTACGTGGTGGAGTAAACTTGGTTGTTACTTAAAGCAGTGAAAGATGATCCACAKATGAACTCATCACCGAGTWTGTTGAACGATGATAGTAGAAGCGTGACCGACACCCACTCAATTGATTTTAAATTAGTAAAGCAAATAAATCGAAGTTAAGAACAAACAGCAATGAAATTAATTGACACGTTCAGTGAGATGTTTGTCGCGTGGATAGCTAACAGTGTGCTTTTCCCCAAAGCCGTCTTGTTACACAGGATCATTACATCTCACAGGAGAAACGGTTATGACAAAGTTAATGTCTCCAAAGGAGCAGGTCAGCCTGAATTCTAACGAATACACAAATCTGTCTGAAGACTAGTTAACAAGAGTTTTAGGATTGCTAGAGTTAGTACCATTCTATCTACTTCGCTGCAAAATTACCTGTCTTTTCTTTTCTCATTTCGTTATTAAACTAGTTCTAGGAGCTTCTGAACTTGTGCCTGCGTTACTAATGGTCTGCAGTCTACAATACATTTCCACGTGATTTGATTTAATTATATGCAACATATGTATAATTAGTCCGTAGAGTTGCCTAAAGTAGCGAGAAAAATTGATCCTTCGCAAAACTTTAACTGTCCCAACGTGTAAGTGTTAGGTCTTGGTTCCAGTGTTTCTAGTGTAATGTTTCACCCTTTATCTGACAGAGGGAACAATTTGACCTCTTCATATACGTTACTTTTTTTAAAGTGTTTTATGCTAAATTCTACGGTTATTAACCCCTAAGTTGTGCATCTTACATCTTGTTTGTGAATTTAATACAGTCGCTGTCAGTTTCTGAAAATTTCCGKAAATTTGCTTCAAAAATATAGCCAAACCAGGGTTGTAACTCAAGTTTAGAGTCCTTAGGAATGTTTTATCTCGCTCAGTCAGGTTTCTGAAAATGGCTCTAAAAACACGTAGTCCACTCTGTCTGGATGCTGCTTTCGTATCGCAATTAGTCATACCCTTTCCTCTAGCAACGCTGTTCTAGATCTTTCACGTCTGAGGATCGAACTCCCCGGTTGTTTACATAAGCTACAACACCAGTTACTATTGTCAAATCAACAATTCTTTTTCATATTACGCGCGTGGACCCGCACAATTGTCTTCAATGCAGGTGAAAAAATATTCAGTCTTTAGAAGTCGTGGAAACCTCGGAAGCAAAAATAGAATTCAAACTTGCATCGTCATTAACAAA